CTTAAGGGAAGATTGGAAGAATTGATTTGCAAGAACGAGTTAAAAATGCTGGTGAACTGTATCTTTTGTAACTTGGTGGTCGGGATTGTCCTCGACCACCACCTTCAGTAGGTAAATTATCATATTCACATTTCATGTCGTAGCAATTGGAAGAAGGGTATTATATAGATGAGATGAGGAATATAAACATATAACACACCACGACTTTAATGTTAGGACCCATAAAAATGTGATTCACATTTGCTGGCAACCTTGTCTGACTTTAGTGGCTCAAGCTCATTTTCATGCTTTGAAAATGATGTAGCTTCCTATAGACAAATGAGGACTTCAGCCAGGTTATCCATTCCCGGAACATGCCGGGTTTGGTGAAATAACTTTCGATATAAAGCAGTCAATATCGGTGATATAAAATTGCCTAGGTCGTTGGAATATCCGAAGGACTTCGAAACAGAACATATCCTGATTGGACATCTACTGATTTGATGGGATTTTATTGGCATAGATTTTGTTGTTTACAGTCACCAGCTTGGTAAACACTGTTTGCTCTCAGATAAATTTTGATTATCTTGTGATTCTTTACAGACACCTTTATAACTATTTATATTTATCAATGTATTTATTTCCAGAACCTATGAAGAGCGTGCCGTCGATTCCACTGGCGAGTCTTTGGTCAAGAGCACTTTACAAAAATATCGTGCCTGTGAAAAATTCAAATTCATATGTGTACGTTGCAAAACTGAAAATATTGTGGCGGCAGCATTTAAACCATCTGCTGGTAATACCTATGAAGCTGTTCTGCAAAAATGCTCGAATCCCGATTGTTCCATTGGACCGTATCAATATGTCATAGCCATACGTAATCAATTAATACTTAGTATGCGTTCATTTATTACACGCTTCTATCAGAATTGGTTAGTGTGCGATGATCCGGCCTGTAATCAAAATACTCGCTGTTATACACACGTGACCAGTGGTCGTCGTCCCGTTTGCATGCGCTGTAAAAATGGTACACTGGTGCGGCAATATACCGAAAGAGATCTCTATGATCAGTTAAGTTACTTCCAATATATGTTTGATTTGTCAAAACATCAGCATAAAAGTAAGTACGATGGAGTTGCATAGTAGCAGCTAATAGATGATGTAATTTTAATGTATATTCTCTCGTTGTTAGATGTTACCATATCACCTGAGGTTTCCGCAGCTTATCACGTGTTACGTGAAACGGTTGATCAGCAATTAGAGAAATCCGCATATTGCACTATTGCCCTGTCGAAACTATTTGCCGGTTGGAAACCATTGCATCAAGATGAAATTATACCTCAAAAGAAAATCGATATGCCAACGGTACAGGTTGCAGCCACATTGGATGATATATAGTTTGTAGGAAAGTGTTCATCTGTAAGCAGCGCCAATTGTTGAGGTGTTTCTTTTGCATGTTTATTATCATTCATATCAGTAGTCCATAGAAATTGTAAAAAGAGAGTGTTTAAATATTTATAACAGCACTAATTTTATGCATGTTATTACCAAAATCAAATTTATTGAAATATATTTACAGTGTACAATAACAAAAAAATTATTGCTTTTTTCTTGGGTTTCTGATGGGATCAGGAATGATATAAGCAGACGAATGACGGACATATTTTTTTCTACAACTAAAATATTTGCAAACTAAAATATTTTGTACAACTAAAAAATTTTGTACGACTAAAATATTTGTAAATAACCTAACATGTACAATTATTTTCGGTGACCATGTTGCTAAATCTACGAAATGTTTAATATTCATACATTTGTTTGATATCATTATCACCAATTGTTGGCAATCATATTTTTATTTGTAGTACACATTTTCATTATCATCCATTCCCTATTGACATTGAAATGAAACTATCTTCTTTGTTGAAATTCTAAAAAAAGTAATTCGTCACATATATTTCTTAGGTAATGCGACTTCAAGAAGTTAAATACTTTATTGTTAACTATAAAACAAATAAACAAAAAAAAAAACAATATTAAAAGATAAACAAAAAACACACAAACATAAACAATACGTTGCCGTCAATGTTTTTACAACACACGTTGGTAGCTTAACAGAAAACCGGTTTGATTTGCAAAAGAAACTGCGGAAGAAGTTGTATTTCCTTGAATGCATTGTTGTGGTCGTCTATGAGAAAATAAATGGTCAATGTTTTGGCCAATAATTGATAAACATAAAGACGCCATTACATTTACAGATAATACAAAATCCTATGAATATAGTGATAATGGTGTGATATAGATATAATGGTGTAGGCTGCCATTATGTTATCTTAAATCTGTTCCATTCTTTTTCTAGATTTTTACAGCTCACCAGACATATCCCTTGCGTCCCAGGTCTCACCAATATATCAAGCAACACTTGGGTACCAAATACCAACATCAAGAAATTTTTGGTACGATCAGGAGTGTCGTAATGCTACTGAGTTGAAAAACACAGGGTATAGGGCAATCCTACAAACAGTAGCAACACGCAATGCGAGAGAGAATTGTCGGAGAAAATGGGAGAGGAGAAACGTATTCTCAAAACAAAGAGCAAGAAAATGTGAGCGGGAATAAATCGAGATGTACAGGGGTCAGAATGAAGTCCGGATATTTTACCAACGAGTAAAACACCAAACCGAAGGCTTTGGTGCAGGCACATCTTCCTGTAGAGACGAAGAAGCAAACCTGGTGACAGATACAGACAGCATGTTGAGAATTTGGAAGGAGTAGAACCAGAGTCAATAAAAGATGACGGTATAGAATTTATACCTCCTAGCCAAGATGAGGTCAGAATAGAAATTAATCGGCTGAAGAACAACAGAGCAGCAGGTGTCGATGGATTACCAGCCGAACTATTCAAGTCCGGTGGTCAGACGCTGATCAGGAGCATGCACCAACTGATTAGTAAAATTTGGATTGAGGAATGCATGCACAATGATTGAACTTCAGCATCCTGTGTACCGTGCACAAAGACGATATGTGTCAACTATAGAGAGATTAGCATTCTTCCCATCGCATATAATGTGCTATACAGTGTGCTGTGTGAACGATTGAAGTCAATGGTCAATGACATTATTGGACCATACCTATGCGGCTTAAGGCCTGCAAATCCACCTGCATGTATTTTTCTTCCTATGGGAATGCTGGAGGTATTATTCTTGCTGTAAAAAAACTGAAGGTATTCTTCTTCCTAGATAAGAACTGTAGGTGTTCTTCGTCCTGATGACGAGTTCTAGGTATTCTTCTTCCTATGCAAGAGCTGCAGGTATTATTCTTCCTCTTAAAGAGCTGCAGAAATTCCTCTTCCTGTGGACCATTCTTCGTGGGGAAGAGCTGCAGATATTTTCTTCCTGTGGAAGAGATGCAGCTATTCTGTCCATCTTAAACCTCAGTTTAGGGTCTAATATTACTCCTAGATCTACGAAAGACGAAATATTTTCCAACTTATAAGAACCAATGTGGTAATCAATTCAGATTTGTTGCATTCTAAATAATGATAGCTTCTTACATTTTTTAAGATTTAAAAAAATTCCATTGGCGCTACACCAGTTAGCCAAAGAATACAAATCGAACTGTAAAAGATTGGAATGACTTGAAGATTCAATATGCCGGAAAAGCTTAACATCATCAGCATACATAAGTATTTTTGAAAAGCGGATAACGGAAGGAAAGTCATTGATGTAGGGAATAAAAAGAAGAGGTCCTAAGTGACTACCGTGTGGAACCCCCATAAGACAGTAATATTCCTGGATAATGAGTCATTAAGTAACACATTCTGCGAACGACCTTCTAAGTAGGTAGATATCCACTTTGCTGAAATCGTTGTATATAACATCAGTCTGCAATTTTTTACTAAAACCCTTGTGAACTTCATTAATGAATTCCAAAAGGTTTGTAGTTTTTAGATCTGCCTTAGAGTTTACGAACTTATAGAAACTTTTTGGATTATTTTTTGTTAATATTACACAGTCGCATTAAAGTAAACCAGGCAGAACGTTGGTCAACTTCACATGTATTTTCGGCCGATTTCATCCCAAATGCCATATTAATACTCGGTCCAAACTTAAATTGTCTTCATTTCACCCAGAATTCCAAAATAAGTATTTATTGAGGAAACATATTTTACACAAAAAAACCTATTATTTTATAAAATAATCACGTCTATATCTTAATGTAATAAATCTAATTTCAAATATTTCATTGTAGAATATTTAATTATTTTTACTGTTGTTAAATTTACTCCCACGCTATATTCAAGGTAGTACGTACTGACCCTATAAATCTTTAAACGATTTTAACATAAACAGAAACATGGTAATTGTCTGCACTACAATTTGATGGGATAGAAGAGATGTTAAAACAAAAGACTTAAGAGACAAACTTAATGGCATTACAGACAAAACATTACCGCAATTAATCGCACAACATAATTTTTATTTTATAATTCCTTAATTTAAATTAAAATATTAGTAGAGATTTCTTGGAGTCTATATTTTTTGTTGGTGTTTTTTATGTGGTCATTTGAAAATGATAGGGCATTTCAATTCAACAATACCAACAATGACCAATGAAACAAGTAACCAATTATGGATATAAATAACATTAGTTGTTGTTATTGTTTGTATGGATGTATGTACGTGTGTGTATCTTCAATTGAGCATTTGTAAACCAAAGAAGTGTAGCGGCTGGCTTCCGATAATTTTCAGCATTTTTTTTTTGTTTGTTACTTACTCAGTTACACGTTAATATGTTTGTACATGTACCCCAAAAAATAATGACAGCCATAGTTTTGGCTTATGACTGACTGACAGACTGTTTGCGGCTGTGTCAGCGTTCAAAGACCCTGAAACGCATTAGTGGATTTGAAACAATTACGAATGCATGTTGCGTACTTCAAGTTCATAGATGTGTCAGAGTCATAAATACGTTTACGAAAACTAAAAAAAGAGTAAACAATTTCCTATTTAGACAATTTTATGACTCGGCTTGTAATGGCCGATGACCCGAACAACTTAGAACCTTTATGTTTAGGATTCATGTTGTGGTGTAAAACGGTGTAAAAACCAAGAATTATTACTAACACATAAAATAGGGTGGAAGGTTTTAAATGAGACGAAAAGTAAAGCAAATTTGTGTGGTGACCTCTTGTTATGATGATATAATTCGGGGTGATGAACTGTTGAATTTTGAAGTTTTGTAATGAATTTCAAATGATCTACAAAACTGGGTATGGATATACAGGTAAATTTGGTAATTTTGTCACCTTAGGTTATATCTACATTCATTATACCGCAATTGAATTCTTTGATTTGTTCATAATGCCCTCGTTTCAAAAGGCTTGAATTTATGAAAGACCCACATGTCTTCTTCTGTCCTTTATGGAGGTAAGAAATAAGCTTCGAATAACATGGTTGCTACAAACGATTTTTTCGGTTGAAAATGGCAAAGGTGGATGGCGTAGGGGATGACAAATACCAAGCAACGGCTCCGATTGACTTTAACATTGCAAAGCCCAAGTTTATCTGGTCCCTTTTTCATCTCAATTGTTTACACTGACTTCCCCGATGTGTCACCTGAGGTAGATATTTTCATCACTCGTTGAAATAGTGAACTGATATATGCCGCGAATTCACCCATAAGAACTATAAAAAATAGGTTGAGTCGTCGGGTAATTACCTTCACTCGGAAAACACAAACGAAAAATAAAACCACGTTTTTAGATACTACGGTCCTTAATTTAAATTCTCTGAAATTTTGGTAATAATCGACCAATCCAAACCAAAGTTATAAGCAAAAATGTACTTAGCATGGCACGTAAGATTTAAGAAACTTCCATTCTTTGAAAGCTTCTGCTGAAAAACTCACTTTTCAGACTTATATGCGATTGGAAGGATTAGTTTCCTTCTAATCGTATATAAAGTACCACCCAGCGTGTTGTGTGAACGACTGAAGCCAATGGTCAATGATATTATTGGATCGTATCGATGCGGCTTCAGACCTGGTAAGTCCACTATAGACCAGATGTTCACTCTGCGCCAAATCCTAGAAAAGACCCGTGAAAAAACATATCGAAACATTCCACCTATTCCTCGATTTTGAAGCCACATTCGACAGCCCAATCGGCTCAGGGGTATTTAAAACGATGTCTTCGCTTGGCATTTCTGCAAAATCAATACGACTATGCAGGATAACTTTTACTGGCACAAAGTCAGCGCATAAAGTCGGAAAGGACCTCTCGGATCCTTTCAATACCGAACAAGGATTCAGACAAGGGGACCGTTTGTCGTTTGCCCTGCTGGAAACATCAGCTTTGAAATCCGGAAAAGAATAGTGGTGGCCAACAAATGCTACTGTGATCTGAGTAAG